CCCACTAGACTGTCAACTTCAGGAAGGCAGAGATTCTGTCTGTCTGGCATATGGTAAGTGCACAGTAAAGATTTGTTAAATGATTGAATACATGAATGAATCTTAATGACCCTTGGAAGCATGAACCCACGCTTTATTTCCATGCCACCTTCTTCACCGGGGGTAATCACGACCAGAGCCCACGTCTGAAGGCCCTGCTGCTCCAGGAGGAGCCTGGCTAAGTGCTGGGTCCGAGAATTTGAGATTGGGAGGAAGACGCGAGCCAACAACCGTTGCCTCTCATCCCAAACTTTGGGCTCCATGATTTCATCTTGACTGTGACGTCATGTGTCAGGGGACCTGTGAGCCACTGGAGGTGAAGGGCCTACCCGGGGCACAGGTCACCTCCTGGGAGATGCCACCCTGCAGGGCAGGAAGGAGGAGTGACTTACCCTTTCAGATATGGCAGCTTCCTGTGACAGACCCGGGGCAGCCCCCCTGGATACTCCATGTCCCGCCCAGCTGAGGCTTCCTCCTTGTTATCCTGACCACAGCCACGGGCGCGCACATTGTGTCAGGTACCACGCGTGTGATTGTATGGCTTCCACACCCATCCTCATAGCCCTGTTTTCTAGAAGAGGAAACTAAGGCTCAGAGAAGTGAGCTCACTTACCTGAGATCACAGTGTTAGGAAGAAGAGCTGGGATTGGTTCCCAGGGCGGCTCTGCCTCCGGGGCCCTAGCCATTGGGCTCCACTGTCTCTGATTCCACCCGCCGCCCAGAGGCACTGGCCATCACATCCTGGATTTTGGGCCTCAAGTGCAGTGGCATCTCCTAACACTGTCCAATCACGGGGTGGGAGTGCTGGTTCCACAAGATCCACAATTGAGGGCTGGGCCAGAGAAAACCCTCAACAATGTGAGCTCTCGCGAGTATTTGCCCAACTATTTACTGTGTTGCTGTTTGGCCACATTTTCCATTGGTGTTGCGTTGAGGGCTGAGGGAGGATTTTTAAAGTCAATATATAAGGGTTAAAAGCAGATGTTATTTAAAATTGCCTTTTAAAAAACTCTTCCTGGTGTCTGGCCCTGTGGCCTAGTGATTAAGTTGGGCGCACTCCACTTCAGTGGCCCAGATTCACTTTCTGTGTATGGATGTATGCTGCTCATCGACAGCCATACTGTGGTGGCATCCCGCATACAAAATAGAGGAGGATTGGCACAGATGTTAGCTCAGGGCCAATCTTCCTCAGCAAAAATAAATAAATAAATAAAAACCCTCTTCCTATATCTTTTTTTAAAAAGAGCATTTCCAGTGGGTGCCAGGGCACCACTGTAAGTGCTTTACACATCCTCCTAACAAGGCTGTGAGGTAGGGATTTTATTATACCCATTTCAAAGATGAGGAAAGTCCAGCGTGAATTTCCTGTCTCTGGGTAAACTGCCACGAACAAAGACATCTTGTTCTTCCTCGAATATTGGAGTCGATCACTCAACAGTGGTTTGGCTAAAGCTTGAATTGTGGTTAAAATTTGAGAACAATGACAGAACATCACTGAACATAGTTGGCTTGCATTCAAGATCCACTATATCTTAGAAATACATATTGCTGGGGCCGGCTCGGGGGTGCAACAGTTAAGCGCTCACATTCCATTTTGGTGGCCTGGGGTTCGCGGGTTCGCATCCTGGGTGTGGACATGGCACCACTTGGCACACCATGCTGTGGTAGGCGTCCCACATAGAAAGTAGAGGAAGATGGGCATAGATGTTAGCTCAGGGCCAGTCTTCCTCAGCAAAAAAAGAGGAGGATTGGCAGCAGTTAGCTCAGGGCTAATCTTCCTCCAAAAAAAAAAGAAAGAAATACATATTACTATAAATGAGGGTCACAGTTACCTTGAGAAAGACGTTCGTCCTATGGGAAGGAATAACGAAATCGTGGAATAGCCTTTAGGGAGCTGGTTTTGTTTTGGAGGGGAAGATTTCCCCTGAGAACACAGAACTGAAAGCCTGGGATGTGTGTGTTCACGCTGGCTGGATGTATCATTGGCGGGAGTAGATTACAATTAGGTGTTGTGTGAGACATTGCCCAAATGTTGTATTCTGTTTCATACAACACAGATCAGAGTACAAAACCCAAATGTACAGCTAAAGAGCAACGATTTAAAAACCTGTGCACTTTCCATCTGGGTAAGGAGCCAACTCATGATCAGTGCCTTAGCTCCAGCTGTGTGTCCCACCCAAGGCCCTGTAACCATTATCATGGCTTGTGTGTTAATTATTCTCTTGCTTTTCTTTATAGTTTATCACGTATGCGTGAATTCCCCCAACAACATAATGGTTGAGATTTCCTTTTCATCTTTTATTTTGGAATAATTTTAGATTTACAGAAAAGTTGCGAAGATAGTACAGAGTTCCAGCATTTCCCCTAATGTTAGCATCTTACAAAACCATGGCGCAGTTGTCAAAACTAAGAAATTCATGTTGGTTCAATAGTACTAATTAGACACAGACTTTATTTAGATTTTAGCCATTTTTCCACTGTATGGTTGAGTTTTTAAAAACCGATTAGAGAGCAAGGACCATCTATCTGTGTAAGGACAGGGCAGACTGGCCACTCTCGAGTGGAGACCCCCGGGAGGGGATGAGCTGGACCGTGTCCAGGTCATAATCTGTGTCAGCTTCCCTGAGAGTCCACACAAACCCCTTCTGGAGAATTCAGTGGACGAGGGCATGAGTGAATCTCAGAAAGTGTATGGATCACCAAAAAAGAAGGTAGCTGTCAGGGCCGAAACGTGAGCCACGTGCATGGCAGGAATGTGGTCAGCTCTGTTTTCCTCTTCTGAGAACACTCTCACAAGTGGGAGCCAAACAGCACGTTTATTAGGGGAAAAACGAACATCCTGAGTGGATCCAGCAGCGATCATGGAGAGCAGCATGTCCATCATGGCCAAGATGAGTCAAATACAGACAAGAATGTGGGTTACGTTCCCCCAGCTGTCCCCTCCTCACGTTTAAAAGCAAAACAGTAGGGGGCAGCCCTGTGGCCGAGTGTTTAAGTTCACGTGCTCCATTTTGGCGGCCCAGGGTTTGCGCACTTTGGATCCTGGTCGTGGACATGGCACCACTCATCAAGCAGTGCTGAGGAGGCGTCACACACAGCAGAACTAGACGGACCCACAACTAGAATATACGACTATGTACTGGGGGGATTTGGGGAGAAGAAGAAGAAGAAGAAGAAAAGATTGGCAATGGGTGTTAGCTCAGGGCCAATCTTTAAAAAAAAAAAAAAAGCAAAACAGTGCAATGGCAGTTGACATGCTGATGATGACAACCCTCAACATGAGTGTCCCCTGAGTCACATGGTCCTATTTGAACTGGTTGACCTCTAACCTTGATACCCAGCTGCCGTGCTGGGATTTTCCCTCACTTCCTCCAGTGTTGGGTCCCCTGTGTCTTGGATTCCAATTCTTCCTCTTTCTTGGTGACACTCTCCTTTCGGTGGAACACATCCTGTAGCTTCTTCTTTTTATTTCCCCCCTGTAGCTTCTTGAGGAAAGTTTCTCAGGAGGTAAAGTTTTGAAAGCTTGCAAATCAGAAAATATCTTCAACTTCCCCTCTTACTTGATTGACAGCTTGGCTGGCTATAGAATTAGGGACAGAAAGTAGTTTCCTTCAGAATTTTGAGGGTGTTGCCCCCTTGTCTTCTTGTCGGCAGTATTGTTCTTGAGGAGTCTAAAGTCATTCTGTTTCTTGATCCTTTGATGATGACGATGATGATGATGATGATGGTGATGATGATTATGATGCTGATGATGTGTCATGCCACTCCCCAAACTCATTAAATCTTTCTGTCCCCAGAGTTCTGAAATTTCACAATGACATATCCTAGGAAGGTTCTATTTTTATCAGCTCTGGTGGGTACAAAGAGGAGGCAAGTAGAAGCAGCGAACCCGGTGAGGTGGCTGCTGAGATGGTCCAGGCAGGAGACAAGGGCAGATGGGACCAGGTATGGGGGGAGCACCGAGGGGGTGAAAAGTGATCCTGTTTCGGATAGATTTTGACGGTAGAGCTGACAGAAATTGATGTCAGATTTTAGAGGATGAAAGAGAAAAAGGAGAATCAAGGACCAACTCAAAGACTGGAAGGGTGAATTGCCTTTCTCTGAGATGGGGAAGAGAGAAAAGATTTGGGCAAGAAAACCAGAAGTTCAATTTTCAGTGTGTTAACCTGGAGATGCCTATTGGTCCTGCAGATGGAGATATCACATAGGCAGTTGGGTAATGAGTCGAGTTCAGGGGAGAGATCAGGCTGGGAAGAGAAACTTGCAAGCCAACAGCTTATCAGTGGTATTTGAGGCCGTGAGGCTGGCTGTGAACACCAACGGGAAGAGGAGAGGACCAAGAATGGAGTCTTGGGAGACTAAGAAAGAACAGCCAACGGACGTGGTATCATGGGAGCCAAAGGAAGAAGGAAGGATGGAGTGCCTAAACGTGTCAAACACTGCTGATGGACCAAGGATATTGAAAGAACTGACTTCTGGATTTAGCAACCATATGGAGGTCATTGGTGACTGTGACGAGCTGGTGACAGATTGGTTTTCCATGGCTGCACGTCCAGCTGTATTCGGAATACCAGGACGAATTTACCCAACGCCCTCCTGAGGGATATTTGGATTGTGCCTTATCTTCTGCTATTCCAAACAGCGTTGCAATGAAGTACCAGTGGCTCCCCTTCCTCCCTGTAACAAAAAGCTTCCTCTCAAACTCCCCCCTGGAGCTGACAGAGCCGCGGCGCCTGATTTCAGCTCCCCTTCCCACTCACCACCAGGCCCCCCTTGTTCCTCCTGTAGCCCCTTACTGCAGGTTCTGGGACAGGGCTCCTTCTTGCTCTCCCAGGGTCAACAGCTTCCAAGACAAGGTCCATCTTTGGGAAATTTGTTGACACTTCTATCCCTTTGCATCGTCTTCCTCCGCGTTCCTTTCCTCTCCCGCTGGGAACTTCCCTCCTTTTATTCCTTTACAGGCATTTCGGTGGAATCTCCAGATGGTCCAGGGATGCAGGCTGCAGACCTTTGGGCCAAAGCCAACCCACAGCCATGTTTTCTGTGGTCCAGAGAGTGGGTCCCAGCGGTGTGGCCAACTTGAAAGGGGACATTTGAAGCAGTCACGCCAAGGAGTTAAGAGCTCCCCTATTTATTAGGGTGGCTTTGGGCACATTTCTCTGGACCTCCATTCCCTCAAAGGAAAAAATGAGGGTGATGATCATGCTTGTGGAGAAGAGAGTTAACTCCCCAGGCCTGAGTTGCTCAAACCCTGGACATTCCCAACAAGAGCCCATTGCCGTGCCTGGTCCTTGACCAGCCTGGGAATTGAGCTCTTCGAATGTTCTGATAACGTTTTGCATGGCTGGGCTCTTGAACCACACTGTACCAGTTTGTCCAGATAGGTCGTGCAAACAACGTAATTTGTGGCTGAACACCTGCTTTCCTTCTGGGGGTCTGGAGCGTCGGGAACTGTCGTCAGTCATTCAAGTCCTGTGTGCCTATGTGATGGGCCCCCAATAAAAACCCTGGACTCCTAGGCTGAAGTGAGTTTCCCAGGTAGACAGCACTTCACATGTGTTGTCACACATCATGGCTGGAGGAGTTCAGGGCATCCTGTGACTCCACTGGGAGAGGACTCGGAAGCTTGCCCCGGTTTCCTCTGGATTTCTCCCGTGCACCCTTTCCCTTTGCTGATTCTGCTCCATATCCTTTCACTGTAATGAACTATAACTGTGCGTATTACAGCTTCCGAGTCCTGTGAGCCCTTCTAGTGAATCACCAAACCCAAGGGTGGTCTTGGAGACCCCCAACACAATACCCAAGATGCTTTGGGATATAGTAAGAGGAATTTCAGTTCCATGAAGCTTTGAAGATAAGGACATTTATTCTCCCTCAGAACCAGGAGGGCTGAGGCAGGGCCACACCTGTGTTGTGCAGTGGCTCAGCGATGGCGGCAAGGGACATCTCTGTCCGTTTTTCTCCTCCATCATCCTCAGCGTGTCGGCATCCATCTTGGGACTTGTCGTCTCATTGTCCTAAGATGGCCACCAGTGCTTCCTGTGTGATTGTTTCTTCACTCGATTTCTGCTACAGAAAGGAAAGAAAACATTTTATATACATACACACACACTGTAACATACACACCAAAAAGTATAGACAGCATAAGTGAATGATTATAGCGCAAACACACATATAACCACCCACCAGATCAAGAACATTGTCTCACCCCAAAGTTCACCTCATCATGCTCCCTCCCAATCACAGACCCCCCCACCGACAACTCTGGGGGGAGGTGGTGTATACACCTCATGGCTTTATCAAGCAGGATAAACTCCCCAATGTCCCCTCATCATTCTTCCCACAGACCTGGGCATCTCTACCGCAAGTGAAACCAGTTCCCTGAGAATATTGCTGAAAGGGTGCTGGACACAATTCCAAAGTGTGTGTGTGTGTGTGTGTGTGTGTGTGTGTGTGTGTGTGTAGCCTTCCCCTCACCAAGAAGCAGTTCTTGGACACCAGCGGGATGTCCTACAATTCAGCTCGATTCTGACACTACCTACCTGGAGATAGAATCAGATTCCACAAGTAAAGGGCTCAGTCCCACAAGACTGGCCTTCACTTCAGACGCCAGTTGCAAACCCAGGTTGTTACCTGTGCTTCTGACCGACCGGCTACAAATTGGAGGTTCCAGTGACCCCCTCCAACTCAGGATGTAACAACCTGGACTTCTGATCAACTGGCTATAAATCAGAGGTTCCCATGACCCAAATCCTGTGTTCAACTACTTTGCTAGAATGGCTCACAGAAAACCTGTTTACTCACTAGATTAACAATTTATTACAAAGGATATAAATCAACCACCAGATGAAGAGATACATGGGGCCAGGTCCTGAACAAAGGAGCTTCCGTCCTTGTGAAGCTTGGGGTCCATGCAGCATGGTGGCACATGGAAGCGTTCTGATTCCTCAGCGTGGAAGCTCTCCAAACCCCCTCCTTTTGGGTGTTTATGGAGGCTCATTACATAGACATGATTGATTAACTCACTGGCCATTGGCGGTTGATTCAATCCTCAGCTCCTCTCCCTTCCAGAAATCAGGGGGTGGGACTGAAATTCCCCCCATCTATTCATGGTTGGTTCCCCTGGCAACCAGCCCCATCCTTAGGTGCTTTGCAAAAGTCACCTCGTTAACATAAACCCAGTTGTGGTGGAAAGGGGCTTGTTACGAATAACAAGGCATTCACTTCACCCTCATGGCTCTGAAGTATTTTCAGGAACTGAGGGCCAGAGACCAAATGTTATGATAAAAGGTGCTTCTGTTGGTCTTATGGCTCAGGAAATTCCAAGGGTTTTGGGAGCTGTAAGCCAGGGACTGTGATCAAGACCAAATATGTCTGAGAAGTATATTTTGATCATCTGAATGACCAGTTATACATGTTTCTTATAAATCACAATATTGCAACTGCCTTGTGGTACCTGAACAAAATTGGGGCAGGGGAGCAGGTCTACCATCTGCCATAATGTTGAGCACCAAGCGAACCCCATCTCTTCTGAACCCACCAGTGGTTTCCAGCCCTGCCTTGGATCAGGAGAATCCCATATCATAATGGGTGTTTTGTTTGCCAAAACCCTTTTTACTAAAAAGTTTCAAACGTACACAAAAGTGGAGAAAATAGCATAATAAACACTACTGATAAATAAACAAAAAGCAATGGTATATATTGGAGTATATGAGGAAAGCATTTGGTATAAAACTAATTTGGCCTGACCTTGTTTTTTCCAAAAGGGCCAGAGGTGGCCTGTTGAACATGCATTGTCCATCTGCTTTAAGTATTCACAATGTCCCAAAGACAAGAATGATGCCCCTAAAGACAAGGATGTAACCTGTCCCATATTGGCATTTCCTTTAGGATAAGCATCTCTCCCTAAACTAAGGATTAATTACTGACCTGCTATGCTCACCCTGTGACCACTCACCTTGTGACCACCCATATGCTGTGCCAGCAAAGCAATCTCGTGACTATTGCAGGAGGAACATTCCTATCATATGTGACGTATGCTCTTTGTTCCAAGATGGTATGTGACCATTCTGTACACATCTTCCCTGGGGAAGGAAGGCCCTGGGCTATAGTCCTCAGACCTGGCTCATAATAAACTCACCCCAATTTTGATTTACAGATTGATTATAGGTTATTTGCATCAACATCACCTATGGCTTCCATCCAGATTTAATAATTGTTAATAATTTACCATGTTTGCTTTGCCCTTATTTTTTCCAGAGCCATCTGAGGGTAAGTTGCAGACATGGAGACTATTCACCCTACATACTTAAGTACACCTCTCCTAAGAACCCAGTCATTCTCCTATCTACTGAGCTCCTATTATTGCACCTAAGTCCATAATATTTTCTATGTTGTCTATCTCAAATTTCCCTGACGGTCTTGTTACCAAACCAGATTTGTTTTGCCCACTGCACAATGATGCCGCTGAGATGACGAGTTTGCAAAGAGAAAGGATTTAATCACAAGGCCGCTGAGCGAGGAGGTGGGGGAATCAGTCTCAGATCCACCTCCCTGAAAATGGGGACTCAGGGATATTTACGGGATGGGGGCAAGGTGGTCTGAATGTGGGGATAGATGATGAGAAGGGAGGTCATTGATCATCTGCACAAGCATAGTCCAGCTTCATACCTCTTCATCGGACGCATGTTCACAAAATGGCGGCATGACCATGCTCTGAGGGTGAAGTTTTCAGCTCCTTGACGTCAAAAAGGTCACTTGTTGAGCGTTTGCACAGGCCCACTTGGTGGGTTGGTTGTCTCAACCAGCCTGAACCAGTCAAGGGGTCTCAGTTCCTGAAAAACCACTTCAATCACCCTGCTGGTAAGATGAGGTCCGTTGAGCTGGTCCTGGAGGGCCCACGGTTACATCTCTATCCCCAGCTTATCTGACAAGCAATTGGATATATTGCAGAATGTGAGGAAGCCATTTGGTTTAAAACTAATTCAGCCCGACCTTGTTTTTCCAGAAAGGCCTGCTGTGGCCTCTTGAGCATGCGTTGTCCATCTGCTTTAACATTTACAATGTCCCAAAGCCAAGAATGATGCCATTAAAGATAGGGATGTACCTTCCCTCAGCATTGGCATTTCTCTAAAGATAAGCATCTCTTCCTGGAACCTAAGGATTGATTAACAACCTGCTGTGCTCACTTTGTGACCACCAACCTGCTGTGTTGAGCGATCCCGTGACTACTGTAAAAGGGACATTCCTGTCGTATGTGATATGTGCTCTTTGTTCCAAGACGGGATATAACCACTCTGTACACCTGCTTCTTTGGTGCACTTCCTTCCTTGTGGAAGGAAGCCACCAGCGCTATAGTCCTCAGACCTGGCTCATATCATAAACTCACCCCAAATTGTGATATATATATATTGATTATGGATTATTTGCATTGACAAGTAGCTTGTCATATCACATGGCTAGTATGTGGTGAAGCCTGGACTTGAACTCAGGTCTCTCCCTTTCCACAGCTTAACCCAACCCTCCATAGTCCCTGGCCCCAACCCCACCCACCCAGGAGCATTAAGAAACACGAGTGCGGGGCCCAGCCCAGTGGTGTAGTGGTTATGTTCGCATGCTCCACTTCAGCGGCTTGGAGTTCACAGATCCCAGGCACAGACCTGCACACTGCTCATCAAGCCATGCTGTGGCAGCGTCTCACATACAAAATAGAGGAAGGTTGGCACAGATGTTAGCTCAGGGACAACCTTCCTCAAGCAAAAAGAGGAAGATTGACAACAGATGTTAGCTTGGGGCCAATCTTCCTCACCAGAAAAAAAAAAAGAAAGAAACATGAGTGTGGGCATTACCCACTCTGCCACTTCAGCAGAGGTTTCCTAAGAGTCTCAGCTTACTTTGCATCATTGTAAATGTAATCTCTCTGAAGGCTTCTAACAGAGAGATACAGGGGCTTGGTGACAACCACTATCCCTCACTTTGGCCAGCTAGGTGCTGGACACCATGCATATGACCAGAAGACCCAAGAAAGAAGAAGGGTGGATCTCAGGCCCAAGCCACACAAACTGGGGGCTGTCACCTGAAGGAGAAACAGTGCTGGGTTTCTCTGAGACCAAGTTTTCCAAACCAAACCTCAGTGGCTTGTGAACCAGTTGAGATTTTTAGCCATATTCAAGGACTACTTGGACCATTATTCACTTAATATTTTTCTTTAAATCATTTTTAGACTAATTTAGTTTAAAAGGTAACTATCACTACTTTCAAGGGAAAATCAATATTGCTTAATACTTTTTCAAAGACGATATGGAGCTGTTTACATAACAAAGGTTCATTCTGTGCCACCTAAAATCTCGCTAGCATGTTCAACTCTTTGGGAGATGCTGTTCTGAGAGGAAACGAATGCGTTTCCAGAGAGATTGTTTTGTCAAGGGTGGGAAACTGGCCCCAAGATGGAGGAGAGAAGACAGGGGTGATTGGCTGGGTGTCTCAGGGGAGGTAACAAGGTGGGAGACAGAAGTGTTT